GGACATCGACGAGTCGGGAGCCGTGGACCTGTCGGAGCTCAACATAGGCCTTAAGGTCGCTTGCTCGTGCTGCTGACGGGGGAGGAGCATGACGCGCCTGCGCGCAGAAACTGAAGCTCTCTCCCCCTGTCGCGCTCACCGAGGACGAGTTCGACTACCTCACTGACTCGAGGAGGCTGCTGAATGCGGATGGGGAGCTGGGGGCCGACGAGTTTGAGGAGATGATCATTCGAGAGATGTCCAACTACGCTCATCGCAAGGTCAGAAGGATGAAACTCTGTGCTGCTCACCTAGCTTCCCTCTACTCTCCTCCTCCGCCTCCTCCTCCCGCTCCTCCTCCTCCCGCTCCTCCTCCTCCCACCACCACCACCTCCTCCTCCAGCTCCTCCTCTCCTCCTCCTGCCGCTCCACCTCCTGCCGCTTCTCCTCTCTTCCTCCTCCTCTTTTTCTGCGCCTCATTTTCCCCATCCTCGCTTACAAACCCCGTCCTCCTCCTCCTCCACCTCATGTTCTCCAGGAAAACCTCCTCCTCCACTCTGTTCCCTTGCCTCTACGCTTATCCTCCCTCCTCAAATCTGCTCGCCTTTCTCCCCAGACCTCCCGCCTCCCTCTCCCTCTTCCTGGCTCTTCTCACCTCTTCCCTCTCTCCGCCCTTCCCCTGCTCCCACCACCACCACCACTGTCCTCCTCCTCCTCCTTCTCCTTTTCCTTCTCCTCCTTCTCCTCCTTCTCCTCCTTCTCCTCCTCCTCCTCCTCCTCCTCCTCCTCCCCTCACCTTCTTCCTTCCTCTCTGCCATCCTGTTCTCACCCTCCTTCAGATCTCAACGTCGATCCGCTGCGAGCGGGATGAGTTCAACTACGAGATGCTCTTCACCATGAAGTCGCTTCTATTTCACATCGAGAAGATCAACAATCCCATCTTCAAGCAGAAGAAAGAGATGGCCCGCAAGTCCAAGAAGGAGATCCTCCGCAAACTCTTCAACACTCCTCTCCTCAACACATTCTCTCGATGGAAGGAGCACGTGCAAGTGACAGTCCACGACAAGGTCCCCAGGGTCATCGACCCCGAGTGGATGCAGAGGCAGTTCGATCGCCTCGAGCTGTTGCTCACCAGCTCCCCAGCAGCGCAGGCGCAGGACGGAAATGATAAGGGAACGTGGGTGGAGGCGAGGCTGGAGGGGATGAGCGCTGCTGTTCAAGAGGTGCAGGAGACTGTTAGGACTTCGCTCGCAAGGCAGGAGGAGGACATGAAGGTGCTCAGGGAGCAGCTCGAGACGGTGCTGAAGGTGGTGGAGAGGAAGACGAGGAGGAGGAGTTCAGACAGGTTCCACCATAGAGCAGCAGCGTCCAAGGAGGGAACTGCTCGTCGGGGGCAGGAGGAGATGGTTGCAAGTCCTCTCCCCTCCTCTCCCCTCCCGACTTCAACCAGCCCCGTCGTCCGAAGCAGCCAACAAGTTTTCTCCTCCTGCGACAACGTCATGGTCAACCCCTCCTCCTCCTCGATCATCCCCTTCCGCTCCAGCTCGCGGTCGCCGCTGAGAGATCTGGAGGCGGGAGATCAGTGGAAGAGGGGAATCAACCCGAGCTCCAACGAGAGGAGGAGGCGAGGAGGAGGCGAGGACGTGAGTAGAGGAGGAGGCAGCGAGTACGTCCGAATCTCCTGGTTCGCTCTCCCCAACCTCTTCGACTCCGTCAGCTCTGGGCAGCACGGCAAGAGCTTCAAGAGCATCATGCTCCTCCTCTGCGACGACTACCACCTCTTCCTCCGCGTGAGGGAGGGAGTGGCCGGGGAGCATCTCGCCGTGGACATGCCGGAGGACAGCAACCTCGACGCCCTCGCCTACGCATGGAAGCTTGACGAGCAGATCGAGCGGATCCTTTCTGACAACCCGGACCTCAAGATCGACCCTGCCCTCTACGTCGACGTCTCCGGACAGGACACGGAGTTCCGACGATACTTCCAAGCAACGTGAGAATCCTCTTCCTCAGTTGTTTCACTCCTCCCTCCTCCTCCTCCCTCCTCCGCCCTCCTCCTCCCCCCCTCTCCTCCTCTTTACCCCTCTCTCCTTGTTCTCCTTCTCTCCCCCTTGCCTCCTCCTCCCCCCACCTTTTCCCTTCCCTCCCGTCCTCTCATCCTCTCCTGCAGGATTGCTCAGAGCTCTCTGGCGGGAGGATACGTAGACGGCACGTACGTCAATGGGGCGCTGCGGGTGGAAACGAGCGGAGGGAGCAGAACGATCCAGGTTGACCGCAAACTCCACCGGGCTGTGTGCAAGATGCGAGCGCTGAAGATCACTAGGGAGCAGAACTGAAGAGGAGGGGGGGGGAGGGGGGAAGAAGGAAGCTTCTGCAGCAGCAATGGGCGGATATTCTTTTTTCCGTGATGTAAAGATCCTACGAGGGAGCATGAACAAGTCTCCACCTCACCATCACAGTCATCATCATCATGATCACCACCACCACCACCACCACCATCATCATCATCATCATCATCATCATCGTCATCATCATCGTCATCATCATCATCATCATCATCATCATCATCGTCATCATCATCATCACCACCACCACCACCACCACCGCCATCATGTTGACAGTTCATCATCATATGCCTCCTTCTCCTTCTCCTCGCCTGTCTCTGGCAAGGCTCATTACGCTCATACAGTGACGAGTCAACTAACGCGCCCTCACAGATGAAGGTCCGGATGCTTTCGCCTTGAGCTAAATTTCAATATCCATATACAGCTTAAGCTAAAGATATTTCCTTGTGAGCCTGGTTGTGTGTATTGGTGGGGTGATGGAACATCTACACCCGTCCTTTTATGTGTAATTTGACTTAGCATACGGGGGTATATGTCGCTTTAGGTGGGGTAGGGTCATGGGGGGTTGTCTAGGTCTGTGGTGGTTTTCGGCCATGCGGGCCACCAAGTTGTTGGCGATCATGGTAAGAGGGGAGGAGGAGGAGAAGGGGGGGGGAAGGGGGAGGGGAAGCGATGAGAGGCAAACTTTATGTGAGAACCGCGATGATGGAGCAGGGAAGCATGAGTGTGTTGTGAGAGGGAGGGAGGGAGGGAGAGGTTGTTGAACGAAAATCTGGTCAGAATCCTCGAAAGAAGCCCACGAACAAGAAAACAAGTTCTGAGCATGAGAGATCTTGTTCTTGATGAATAACATGTAGATGAAAGAAAGATGCATACACGTGATAGACCAAATGCAATGTCTTTCTCCTTGCAGAGCTTGAGGAATTTGTTGTGACGCTGAACATTTGCGCGTTTTACAGCTTGCTCAAGCATGTCTTGGGCAAGTGCAAGGAGAGGCAGGAAGTTTCAATCCTGCTGAACATATGGTGATATGTCCGCGTTCTTCGCTCCTGTGGCATGACGCATGTCAGGCGCTCGAGTACGTGTGGACATTCCCGAAGCCAGAGGACATCGCCGCGAGCCATTCGAGGTTGTTCGCTCAGCATCCGGGCAGCGCTAAGTTCAAGTGAGACGCGAGTCCTCTTGTGCTGCTTCCTCTCTCATCGATCGAGCGGCAGGATCAACGACAAACCTGCTCCTGTCAGCTTCGACGAGATCCTGTCGAACCTGGGAGAAATGCCGCAGAGGCAGGGCCCGTCGAACGTGGTGAGGAAGAGCTTGAGACAGGAGGGAGAGGTCTCGTCATGCTTGCTCGAGCAGGTGATGAAGGCTGTGGCAAGCGCGGCATTCATGGGAGCTGTCGGGTTCGCAGCCCTTGCAATGAACAAGTTCAAGAACACGCCTCTGGGGGGGGAGGCAGGGGGCGTCGCCCCTACGACAAGACACGACCAGCCTAAGGGAGACAGCAAGGAGCGTTCGGATGCTCCTCCATCCTCTGGTGCTGCGATGCATCAGGAGGCCCCGGCAGGAGGGCAACTTGAGCAAGAGCCTCGACACTCAGGCATGGCGGAGGAGGGGCTGGAGCAGCCCGGGAGCAACGAAGGGGCTCCGTCTTCCTTGGCGTTTGCAGTGCTGATGCAGCCGTCAAGGCTGCGCAGGTTACCTCTTCCTCCTCCTCCTCCTCCTCCTCCTCCTCCTGCTGCTCCTCCTCCTGCTGCTCCGCTGCCGGCGCCGCCTGCTGCCTCGTCGTAGCAGCAGAGGATGGAGGAGCAGCCGACCGCTGCTTGCTCTTCCTCCTCCTCCTCCTCT